CAATTGAATGGAACAACCTCTTCATCACCAGGGGTTTTGTTCCAAAATCCAGAGTCGACCTTCTGCCTTGCATGTTTCACCCTCCCACTTTTTTCCAGGCCGGTTTGTCAAGTGTGGAAGGCCCATAAAGGTCGGTGATGCTGTTGGACCAGGTTCGCTGCGCTCCAAGCGGTGCGCACCGGAACCACACTATTTCGTCGATCGTTGGATCGTGAAGGACAAGGTCCTGTGAAACCAGGACTTTGGACTGATTCTCAGCATATATAGGATGCCTTTTGTCGGATAAGGGAGGCAAGCCCATGCCAATCCGGCGACGACAAGAGGGTATGAAGTTCATACACTCCCTGTAAATAATAATGGAAGTGGATGGCATGGCCCGAGGACAACCCAAGGATAACCATGTTCCGAAGACCAAACAGGCAGTGGTTTTCCACCTGCATGATGGGAGTCCAGCCGGAGTCCAGCTGATGTCCAGCTGACCACTCCTCCTCCAGTCGGAGTCTACATGGGCCATAGTTGACTGCATATCCAGTGCTCCAGTTATCTCCATGGATCTATTGTTCCCGTTCGTTCGGGGCGCACGGACACTAAGGCTCCCCTTCTCGCACACGCTCCGGCCATGAGAAGGTGCACCGAACCGGTCCCAAAATGGTGTACAGCGGCGTTGGTTGAGGCAACTGAGACCTCAAAAAGAAGGAAGATTAGGGAGGTAAGCCCATGCGCCCAGACCACTCACCACTCTGGCAAAGACATGAAATTCTTACCTGGGTGGTGGGTTGGAAAGCATTTGTAGGTTCTATGAGGTACACCTGGGGTTTCCAATCCTCATCAACTGGTTGAGCAATTTTGTTCTTTTGCCTCGTGACTACAGGTCCACTTCACTTGACTGCCTGGGTCCGCCTACTACGATGGCTCCAAAACCGATTCACTGGATGTGTCACGTGCTTTTGACCCTCTGGTCTGGTTTTAAGACCCAATCCAGGGTCTGACTGATCCTGAGAGAGAGGCGCCATTTCACCCGAAGCCTCCAACTCCTTCACCTCAGAGTGACGAAGTTCTCATCGAATTCCTTATAGTTTGTTGTTTTCGCCTCAGAGTGACGGTCGTGGGAGCTTCAGAAGTTGGAAGATTTGGAAGACATTCTGCACACTTCGAAGGACGGACAAAGATGTGAAAGCAACAAAGAACCAGGATGATGTTGTCATGACTTTGTGTCAACCACCTCCATGTTGTCATCTTACTAGAGATGGAAAAGCATGTGAAGACCTGCGGCGAAAATCACAGGAGTTTGTCGGGGGTTTCTGGATGCAACTTCCTCCGCCAGGGCACTTTGGTTCGCCTTTTAGAGCTTCAAGGTGGGCCTTTTGGGAGAGGGACGGAGCGGTCACGAGTGACGTCACGAGCGCCACCAATGTGAAGAATGGTGAATGTCCCTGAAAAACACAGCGGGAAACTTTTGACCACTTGCACTTGCACGGGTTGTTTTCCAAAACAGCTAGAATTCTAACAAGGAGTTACAAATAGATTAGTGGAGTTCCTGGAAGGAACTTTGTTGTCCTTAATTTCTGTCATTTTGTATAGTTTTGGGGTGAACTGGTTGATAATCATGGCATCTGGTCTGAGCGAACCACGCGCGGTACTTGCTTTTAGTATGAATTTTAAGTGACTAGTTTGTTTTTCAAGTCCCGCGGGTTCCAAGTACTTCCTCAGAAGGTATCGGACCCTCCAAACCCACCCCAGTCCCACCTTCTCAGAAGGTATTTGGAGCCCTGAAAAAGTGACTTCGGCTTGCCATGTGGTCGGGCTGAGGCTTTCACCTTCATCCTCCAGAGCCTTCCCTTGCCCGCGCGGCGCACGCGCGCGGCATGTCGCGCGCACGAAGGCGGGGCGTGGAGTTCCAGGGGCCGCTGGCGGAAAGGGTCCATCGGCATTCCATAGGTTCTGAAAGAGAGGGAGGCCACGGAACAGGCAGAACAAGACAGAGAGAGGGCAGAACCCATGATGTTTTTCACATGTTTGCCCAGCAGGGGCTGCAAAAAATGTGTGCAACCTGCACAGATGACATGGAATGAGCTCAGATTCAGGAGCAAAAGCAGGACTTGGATTCCTCGTCAAGAAAGGCTTGTTCAGAACTTCACGTTCTTGGGGACACCTGGTGATGGGCGGCCTCTGCCAGATGTGGTCCAAACCTTTCAGGAACCTTCTCGCAAGTCGCTTGGTGGAAGGCGATGTCAGATGGCCGTCCTGTTTCGACGTCATCACCTCGTTGAAGGAAGAAGCTCTGCACCACCTAGAGCCATCCAAACACAAAAAATACAGTGGTTTTCATTGAACACAAGGTGCAGAAACACCCCTTTGTTTGCACCTGCCGTGGTGCACCGTTTCCTCGTTGTTGGCCATATGTTGTTTTTGCATATATACGTAGCTTTTTGCTTGGTTTCCTATCGTGCCTGCCGTGTCTTGTGTCAGCTGCTGCCTTGTTGTTGTTGTTGTTGTTGTTGTTGTTGTTGTTGTTGTTGTGACATGTTAGATTTGTTTCCATTCTTGCCTGTTTGAAGTCCTCACTGTGATAGTCAGTTGATTCAGCAAGGGGTATATCGCTTTGCCGTACGACTACTGCTAGTAAAGGGGTGCTTCCTTTAGGACTAGAAGCCAGGAAGCATGCAGAAATATCATTTCCTGAGATGTGGGTGCTTATTTGGGCACTGGTACCATGCACATTGTTAGCTTTGACGTTCGCCCCGTGGTGGCATTGGCACATTGGCACGGCCACCGAAACTCGGACCATGTACCACACCGAACGAAAACGGAGCTTGGGGCCTTTGACGTGTTCTGTCCACCGCCTCAGGCAGATAGGTGCCAAACACTTGGCAGCCAAGCTTGGAAGACCCATCTCAAGTGCCCCGAAGGCACGCCCGATGCGGAGAGAGACATGCGGAGCCCCCGAGAGAGAGATTATATCATGACAGACGTGAAGAGAGACAAATAAGGAAGCGGCTGCCAAAGGATCTCGAAGGACCTTCATGATACCAGCTTACATCAGCTGACCAAACCCAAAAATAAAGTAAACTGAAGCCTTGGTCACCTTTGTCCAGCCGCTTGCTACGGCCCTTTGTCGCTCAAAACTGGAAAACGGATGGCAACCCTCCAGGAAAAAAACAGTGTGGTCCGGCCAGGTGTCCAGTTCCAATGCTCGCATGCAAACGGCCATACAGGACCAGAAGCCATGGGGGATGGGGGCCGGGGGAGGATGGAGGGAGGGGTCTCAGAAACTGGAAGGGTGGCCACAGGTGACTGAGGAGACCTGGCAGCATAACACCATGGATAGAAGGATATATATATAGAAGGGATCCACTAGCCACCGAACCTCAGGTTTGGCACGACTTGGGCGCTCACTTCGCCTCCGAGACAAGATCAATAGTCTCCCTGCTCCACCTTCACAGTTGCGGTCACACGGTCCATAGGGATGGATCGAAGGGATTTGAGTGAGTCCTTTTTCCACCAACGACCCCGCCCCTTTAAGCTCTCAGCGCGGTTTTGCCCCAAGTCCATTGGGTTTGTGGGTGGAATCGGTTCATCCAAAATTAGTGATGGCAGGCTTTTGATCGGCTTTGTTCCTAACTTCGGAGAAGTAACAAGATTTGCAAGGCTCGTGGTGGTTCCACTTTTCAGATTTGGAGCCTATAGTCACCAAGGATCACCAAGGAGTCTGCGTAAGAATTCGGCTCATTCCATGTCCGAACCGCCGCCAAGGTTGTTTTCAGTCAAAAGAGGTCGATCCTCTCCACCCCCTCCAGGCCCCTCCACCCACGCCGCCGGGAAACCAGCCACCCCGGTGGCCATGCCCTCGCGCAGCTCGCCGCTCGCAGCCCCTCGAGCGCAGGAGGTGAGCCAATCGACGATGATGATGACGGTGAGCCCGCGAGAGCTAGCGCTCATGGCGCCCTGGGGTGCATTGGTGTTTCTTCTGTGCAGATGTGTTAATGTGTTGTTCTATGTGTTCCTATTTGGTTTGTTCAACTTGTTCAACTGCAGATGGGCGGATGTATGCGGATGTGGTTATTTTCTTTTTCTGAAGTGGGTTGGGGATGTTGGGGCGGGGGCGCATTCTTGGCAGGAGATCTGTGTTGTTGCGCACGGAGGTTCAGGAACTCCAAAAATTCCAAGTTGATTAGATGAGTAGAAAGGAGGAGTTTACGATGGATTGTTTACGAAGTAGTTATATACTGGGAGTCAGTACATTAAAATAGGAAATATATTAACATATAGGAGGTTTCTATATGATCTTACCAAGTGGTTGATGGGTCCAGTTAATCCGTGGATCATCATGGGTTGACATTGTTCGGTTGCTTTAGATTGGCATTGCCAGGGCATGCCAGGACAGTCGGTCTCCAGCTTGATGCGTGACATGGGTCCAAACAACTGAAGAAAAAGCAATCAATTTGAGGTCGGGAAGCGTCCAGGTATTGTACATCATGTATAACTGTATAACCGTTATCGCCTTTAAGCTGGCATGTTGGTATGAACATGTATGAACATATATAGTATGAACGATGGACATCGATGGACTATTTTCACACGGTGCAGTGATGCAGTGACTGCTGTTCTTGCCTTTTAGCACCTGGGAAGTGTGGGAAGTGGCTGCATTTCTGGCGCTCTTTTGGGCTATTTTGTGCGGTTGAGGGTTGAGGAGTAGGGTCCTGCAGCAGGGCATCAACAGGTTGGTGTAGGGCAGCTGTAAGGCTCAAAGAGGTCCCACATCATTTGCCAGGAATCGGAGATGTTCAGATACAGCAGCCATCCAATTCATAGACTCACAACCGCGTTGTGATCCTCCCGTGTCTTCAACTGCCCCTCACTTTGAAAGGCTAAGGCTAAGGATGACAAGGGGTCATCAAAGACTGGTGCGATGACACCTGTAGAACAATAGAAGTTTGAGTTATACATGGATCAAACGCTGCAAGGATCAACAAAAATCAGACAGACTTCGTTTGCTTTTCCTACTGTGGCTTCTGCGACGCTTGCCCTTCTTGCCGCCGCGCTGGTTTGCGCCCAGAATGGCTGCTATCGAGGGCAGAGGCTTTGGGCTGCTGCGTGGGCAGTTGTTGTGCGGCTGGCTGCGCAGGGTGCCGCACTGGTGAAGGAGCCTTGACTTTCATACTGCCCCAAGACTTATTGACCAGTTTTTTTTAAAATGGGTTTTGAATGGTTTTGACATCATCAACACTTTTGAGTGATGATTGGGATAGGTGGGGCCGAACAAGAGAAACGACCGCAACATAGATGCCCTGGTTTCCGAACAGATGGCCCTGGTGTCCGATGCCCGATGTGGATCAGTTTTGCTCAGTACCATCAGCGGTTTCTGGATGGTTCTGGCATCACAGAGCGCTCCGTTCTTGGGTCATGCTTCGCAACTCGTTTTCATGTCAACCTGTTGGTCTTCCTTCCGACATGGTCAACAGCCTCGGCTCAGGTAGGCAAATGCTCCATTGGGCGGCGATTGGTTGGATCGTCTCTCTCGTGCACGCCAGCTCCCCAAGCAACTCAGTTGAAGAATTGGGTTGGTGACGCTGCTAACCATTGGTTGCGGGGCACTGAAGGTGACACTGAAGTCTTCGAAGGCAACATCTACAAGCCACATTTTTTTCGCAAGGATCCTTTGGTTCTCAGTCTGTGGTTATTTTTTGGAGACATGAGACATGTTTCTAGAAGAAGCACTTCAAGCACTTCCTCGTCTTTGGAGGTGCCCTTCTGCACAGCACCAGCTCCACGGTTGGCCGCGTGGCACCTTGCGCCCTTCAGCTGAAGGTGCATGGGTCACCCCAGTGCCTAGGCGGAGCACGTTGGAGCGGCTTCGGGGCGGATGGGCGTGGGGGGAGTTCTAGGCCGGGAGGTTGGAGAACACCTGATGCAATGACTGATGATGTGACTTGTTCCCTTCAAAGGTGTAGGGCTGGCGAAGTGGATTCATCCTGGAGTGACTTACGAAGTGATGAGGCGAATTGGCCAAGATCTTTTAGCTGATGCCCACTTCAGCTGGTACAGATGGTTTGTAATTAAGGGATGGGAGGATCGGTATTCCATTCAAGTTTGGTCAGTTCATCAGCAAGTGTTTCACAGACCCTCCTCCTTCCCCACCATGACTTGTAAGATTCAAAGGTCTCCATGGCAAGACCCAGACGCCCCGTGAGACCCTGGGGTAGTGGAAACCTGTACGCGCCCCCATTACCTGTTTCCGACCCCTTGCATGACTTTCCATGACCCTGTTATTCATGACAATTGGTCAACCACTTCAACCAAACCAGTTTTCTTGATGAAGCCAGATGTCCCCCCCAAACCAAAAGAAAGTTGTTGGAACCTCTACTTGTGAAGACTTGTGAAGGTGCTGCATCTGTCATTCTATTGTCTTTTTGAGGGGACGTGGGCCTGAATGGGGTGACTTCAATGAACACGCAAAAAAGACAGTAATGAGTACTCCTGCAAAGGCTTACATGAAACTTGAAAGGGGTAGAGCATCTTAAGACAACTGGCAACAAATAGTTGTTCTTTTGGGCTCTATGTAGCACTTTTTGTCATTTTCGTGGGCATGTTGGGCAGGACAGGTTTCCACAGTGTATATTGGGTGTGAGATTTGGTGGTGTAATGTTTGATCCTCTTTGCGGGTGATTCCTCTTTCAGGGAGATGTTGCTCAAATGTTCTTAATCTGTTTGCCCCTATTTATCCTTCGGTAATGTTTCACATTTCCTCAATTCAGCTAGTGGGAGGAGAACAAAAGTGTCTAGAAGCCGCCCAGTCGTCGAGGCCTTCTCCCGCGCCGCCTGTGGAGCTCTCCGTGATCTTTGGACCCTTCCTGGCGCCGCGCCTCGCGCAGAGCGCAGCGGCGCTCGGCTTTGCGGCGACCGTGGGATGTGGGGACATGTTTCGAGAGTTCTCCAGTGATCAGGAGACCCTGAAGCAGAGTCCATGGGGTGGGGGTGGGTGGGTGGGTGATGTTTAGGGGCAGAGGGATGGGATGTTTGTTTGGATTTTTCCTGTACTTCCGTTGGCCAGTGGAGGCATTCCAATGTCTTGAGCCACAGGTTAACTGGATGGATGACACATAGCAAGCGATTGGTCTTGAAGGGTCCGGAATGGTGGAACAGACGATGAGATGTTTTATGTCTTGACGGAAGTGGATGCACAACAGGAATCAGTCGGTGGGCCATGACTTAGTGCAACCAACCTCGCGCAGTAAGCCACTGAGACAGGATTCATGCCATACACATAGCCTGTCACTTCACCAATCATGTAGACTCTTGATTCATAAAGTCCCCCACTTGAAGAGGTGCTCCATCCTCTTGAAGAGGTCTTCAAACCGTTTTTCTTAATCAAGATATCTACATTCTATCCCATGACGAGATCTTCCTTTCGTGCTAGTGCCATACTGGTGGCAGCTCCGAACGTCACGCCTCTCGGTGCGTCTCGGTGCGTCTCGGTCGTTCGAGTTCGACCCGGCGAGCTGGGGTGTCGACCGACCGACACGATGGCGGCAGGAGGAGGGCTTTCCGGTGCCCAGTGGTTGCTGGTGGAATGCCAGCACGCTGGAGATGCTGATGCAGTTCTCATCCAGTGACTGGTGCCTGGGTCGGTCGATTCCGACGATGGATGGGCTTCGTCTACGGAGCGAGGGCGAGGGGGTCAGGGACCGAGGTAGGTAGGAGTACGAGATCCCTGGCGATTCACCAAAATCCCTGGCGAGGTTGTTTACTCTGATTGGTGTGCATGACTGGGTGGTGATTTCAGATATGTTTTATGTTCGAACTTTAAGTCACTTGGGATAGTACTTGGGATATCTTGGGATGATTGATTGAACCGTCTGACTAATGTCTTGCACGTGAGTTGAAACAACAACCTGATGATATACATGAGGGTGTTGCACTAACTTTTCATGCAATTAGAGCCAACGCTGTGTGAGAGATGATAACAATAATTGCCGTCTAGGGCATTCCATACGGACATGGGGCAAAACAACTTGCGGCGCCCCCACTGGGCTCTTCACATCCTGAATCGCCTCCACTATTCACCCGCAGTGCCAAACCTGGCCCCAGAACCATGGCCGTGGCACTCAGGTTGGCCAATGGCAGCTACCAGCTGGTCTTTGATGCGGAGGTTCTTGCTCCCTTCGTTGCCGGCACGTCGATGGCCCAGTTGAGTGTCACAGACGCCGACCTCGCTGAGCTGCTGCTACTAGAGGTGCTGGCAGCCAGTGGTGGCTCTGACAGATGTGAGTGCTGGGTGGGATGAGCGAGATGTTCATGAGTGGTGCTATGGAACAATGGGCGCGTGTCTCCTTTCATGTAGAAAACATATTCAGTATGTTTTTTTCATGCAAAAATGCCGCTGTCTCAACATGTCACGACCATCGCCATGAGATGGGTACCGACAGGGAGAAGCACTCCCAAACAGGGACCCTTGGGCAAAGTTGGACAGGACACGAGGCGTCACGGGATGTCACTGGTCAACTCCCACGTGTCATCCAAAAGAAAGCATGGGCATCATGGATTGTGCTATGGAAGTACCACAATATATTTAACTTGACCACTACCCTCTTGTTCAATCTTGTTCCATGTTCCCTTCTGCAACCAGCTCGTATCCTTTTGATTCACAACTCCACTTGGGTGGTTTCGACCAGCCTAGGCACCCGGCCCATGCTGGACACGGACACGTCGTTCTCCATGAACATCGGGATCCTCAGTGATGGACCGTGGCAGCTGACCTCGGAATCGCCATGGATCCTGACGGGTCCAAGGTTGCTTGGAGTGCTTGCGACAGCAGGGTTTGGTGTGGGTTGAACTGACCTTCCCCTCCAAAAAGGAACAGTACAGTGGGTTCAGAGTAGATGGCGCAATCCCCACGAGGTGGTTTATATCAACCCCCATCTAAAGGACATGTAGCTGTTTGTGCCATCTATTCCTGAAACTTCTGCAAATAGTTGGGATGTGGTAGGGGGAGGAGCTTGGAAGAATCTTGAATCTGGACATCCACAGATGTTGGTTTTGCCTGGGAGCCTATAGTGCCAAGTGCCTCTGAACATCCGAACCTCCAGCAGGACGGCCTAACATGACCGACGGAACGGACGGGACCAGCGCGGACTTTGCCCGACGGTCGTTGAGGTTGGAACTGGAGGCTTTTGAGAACATCTCAGAGGTCATTCTTCACCTCGCCCTTTTGCCCCTCTATGCCTGGCCTGAGCGCCTGGAGCCCAGCGAGACCGCTGGCAGTCTCCTTCTTCCGGCCCTGGAGATCCAGCTGAATGTCAGCCACTGGGGCGGAGGAAAGCGCATGGTTGATCCGAAGCTGTTTCAAAGGGGGTGTGGTGTTATCCATCGCTATCGATGGAGGCCGGCATGTTCGTAGGTGGAATAGGTTCAGAGGAGATCTTCACTAAGGTGATTTGGAGTCCCTTCCCTTCCACTCGGAGCTGGCATTGGATCTTCAGGACGTCCGCAGCTTCTTTCCAACCTTCCCAGTGGTGGAGCTACGCATTATCGGAGAGGATGTGAATGGCACTGAATTGGAGATGGCAGCACCAGAGCCTCGGATTCAAACTGAGATGACGTGAGATGACGGGAAGGGTGAACATGCCCTCCACTGGACAGTGTGGACAATGGCCCCCACACTGGAGAGGATGCAGGTCTTGAAGGGTGTGTTTTCCAGAGTTTGCCATATACTTCACACGTTCACCGTGTTTGCATTATACTTATACGTTCTTAGCAGGTGGTCATGCGAGGCTGACTCCTTTAGAGCTTGCACACACCCACACACATATGGTTTTAATCAAATGTCTATCCGAAACTCATTTTTTGCGTGTTCATCTCCAGTTCTGCAAATCTGAGGTCTCGTGCAACGCGTGGTGGAAGCCAGTTGCTCACTTGATCATCAGATATGTTTGTGCTCTTGTGTGATATGACGGAGCCATCGCCAGTTTACGGGGTTTCTGCACTCTTTGAGACATTGCCCTATAACCCCGGCTAGTTTTGAGTGTAGCTCCAAGGAGTTGGACCTTTTCAAGGGTTTTCTTTTTGCAACTAAGACCCAAAGTCAGCTGAGCAAAGAGAGCTTAGAAAAAAGGGGCAAAAGACGAAGACCTCTTCAAACATCTTCCAACCATTGAATGCGAAACGTCTGACAGAAGCATACAGAAGCCAGTCACGTTGAAGACCTTGGCCTGGTTGAAGACCCGAAGGTCACGGCAGAGCTCTGCAGTTCCATGTCGGACTGCTTTCGGACTGCTTTGGCCCGGCTCGTCCGTGGGGCCGTGGAGGTGGTGTTCGGGGCGGCGCCCTGCACGAGACCCAGATGGAATCTGAAAACCATGGGGAAGTTGTAGAGGAAGTTTTCTTTCCAGTCTGGTCCAGGTTCCATCCCTAAAGCGCCTGGCCGCCCCCTCCTGAGGTTCGGTGGGACTGGGAGGTGCCAGGGCGGTCTAACCACCTTCTTCTGCAGGAGGTGCTGGTCGCAGGAGCCCCGGCATGGGCAATGTGGGTCTCAAGCCTCGGGTAGGTCGGCGCTTCGGGTTCCGAGGCGGATCCGGTGGCCGAGACCTTCTTTGGCATCCGCGCAGCGGGCCGGAGCGGCTTCGGAACCACGCCGTGGCTGGGTGGTGCAGAGGGGTCGCAAGTCACCTGTGGAGATTGTTTGGTGATGGTTTTGGGGGCGTCCAACTCTGGGGGGATCAGTTTTCGGGTGGAGGCCATTGCTACTAGGCCATAGGGTGGGAACCCCAGTGAATCCATGCATTTTGTTCCTGAAGCATGGTTTTCCTGCAGTTTCGACGGGGAATCTCTAGAAGCTCAAGGCTTCAACTCCTTTGCGGAAGTCAGTCCTCTAGGTCCAAGAGACCGTCGGTGGATGCCTTCACGGCATTCTCAGTCTCGGTCCTGAACATGAGAGATCAAGTTAACCTCAGAATACCAAGACCTAATTGCTGGACTGGGCTTTGTTAACCTCCCCCCCAGAAAAACGTCCCTTGTGCTAAAGTGATGGGTGTCCATTGAGCCTGGCAATGTCAAGTGAATTCACTTCTGTTATTCGTGTTATTTTGGCAAGACGTCTTCCAACCAGCCGCCATCCAGACCACCCTCTTGCAAGCCCCAGGTTCACCGGACAGCAGAACCAGCTCACGCTGCGGTTAGTCCTGCCCTGTGTGCTGCGGGCTGAGAGTGGCCTAGCCAAGCATGGGAAGGGAGTAACTGGCGACACACATGCGGCTGAAGTTTCCATCAAAGTGACAACCACCTGTTTGGTATTCGGAAAAGTGTCATCCAAGGGTCATGCCATACACTTCCATGAGCCTCAATGAGTGTATGGTCTTGAGACATGCCCCGGAAATCCCAGGGAGTTCATAGCGGGTGAGCTTTCAAGTTCCAATGGTTGTGCCAAATAAAGGAAACAATCAAGACCAGTAATTACATCGCATGATTGGTGTGTGTTCATTGTTTGTTGTGCTTGTCACCGTCATTGTTGGATTGTGGTTTTGTGATGGTGGTTGTTGATTGTTCTTGTTCTTGTTCTTGTTCTTGTTTCTCTTCTCGTTCTCGTTTTGGTGTTTGTTCTTTTCCTTCCTTCCTTCTTCCTCTTCTTCCACGCTTCCAGGATTCCATGACAACTCCCCGCCCAGGCTTTTCAGATGTCGGCCTCTCACTGCTGCTCCCCAGCGATTTCAAGTGCCTCGCCATGACCTCGGAGCCCTCCTTCCACTGGGCCGCGCGGGGCGTGTCTCCCCATGAGTGCCGCTGGAGCATGGCTGCGGGCGAAGCGGTCTATGCGGACCAGGCGGGGCTGCGGGCTCCGAGGGGCCGATAAGCGGCAGAGAAGCGGTCGTGACTTTGAGAGTCCTGGTGCAAGATGGAAGATGGACTTAATATCATGAAACATCATGAAACATTGGTTGGATTGGGGCGGTCTCTACGATCACCGTTGGACGGGTGGGTTCAAGGGCTCACTGCTTCCTACTCCAATCCTCGCGGCTACTCCTCACAGTGAGGAGTCCCAAAAGTCCACTTTGGTCTCAGGTGGACTCGCGTCGCCGCGTCGCCTCAGGTGCTTCTGCTGAACCTCACCTATCGAAATCCCAGCGAGGCCACGCTCACGCCCAGCGCTGCTGCGGCCCTCAGCTTGGAGCTGCGCAGCCGTGGTGAGCTGCAGGCTGGAACGGCGTGGACCCTGATGCCAGGGGAGCACAAACCCCAAGGATGGTGGCCTGTGGCTGTGTCTCCCTGAGGGCCTCCCGCCACACATCAAACTTTTGGTTGATGGTTGTTTTCAATCTTTTCCCCCTACCAGGGGCCCTCAAGACCATGAAAAAGGTTTTCACATACAAAAACCCAGGGAACGCAAGGTTTTTGATGCTTTGTGGGGCTCCTGGTATACGATGAACCCAATGTGAACCGCCCGTCACCCGGAGCGTATACGTTCGGTGTTTCGGGCCCCGTTCGGCTTCGGGTGGAACCATTCCCCCGGCAGCGTCGAGACGCCTTCAGGTTTCGGAGCCTTGGGCGATGAGGTTGGACACCAACGAGACGGAGGGCGTGGAGGGCTACCTGGGCTCCGTGGGTGTTCTGGGAACCTTGGGCTTCGAGACCGGTGGGGGAGTTGATGGTCTCCGGAAAATGGGCGGAGCACCTCCCTCTTTGAGAAGGTGGTTCATGGTGGGGGGTGGGTGTTGAAGCACCTTCGGGTATGGTTGGAGCCCTAGGGTATCATGTGATGATCATGTGTGTTTTTTCCCGAATGCGTAGCGAAGGGTTCTCGTTTAACTCTTGGGGGTCTGGGGGTAGAGTCTTGTTCGCGACCCGTTGCTTCTATGTTCGCAACCGTCCGCAACCGTTCGCAACCCTTCGCAACCGTTCGCAACCGTCCGCAGTAGGTCGCTAAGGCGCTGCCATTGGGGGAAGCTTTTGCAAGTGACTATTCATGGATGTGTCACGTGTCAGTTTGCGACGCTAGTCCATTGTGATTTGCGTGAAAATGACATGTCGCGCAAGAAGCGTGATGCATTTCGCTGCACAGGCGCAGCGTTTTGTGAGATCTGCAGATTGCTGCGCAGTTCCATTGGGATTAGCGTTTGGAGAGTCGTGTTTTTGGGGTGTTGGATGTGGCCGTGCCATTGGGATTTGCGTTTCAGGGTGTGGCATCGAAGCTCTGTTTTCGTGACAAGTCTCAGCTGAAATGCCGATTTTGGTGGATGGGAGTGTGCTCAGAACGGGTCGAAATCATTCCAAACGTGTGGTGTGGTGCAAATTTTGTTGAAGCTCACATGAGACGACATTGTTACTTTTCGTGGCAGGCGCAGGACTTTGTGCGGGTTTTGAGGTGTGGAAGTATGATTTTCGTGGCAGGCGCAGGGAATCGTGAGGTTGCGATGTGTGACGGAGGTGACATTTCGTGACAGGCGCAGTACTTTGTGCGCGTTAGACGTGTGGACGCGGAAAGATTCGTGGCAGTCGCAGGGAATCGGGAGGTTGTGAGTTGCGCTGTCACAGTGGGATTGGCGTGTGAGCGGGTGTCGTTTGGAGGGGCTGGAATCGCGAAACTGCTTGGCAGGGCTGCGTGATGTGTGTGCTCCGATGGGTGTTTCCGCTGGACTTTTGGAGGAAGTCTCGTGCGAAACGTTCGTTTTGCAGAC